AAAGTAATGGAAGCATGAATTTCTTAAACAATTTTTGAACGATTGCTACAATAGCTTTATAAACTGGCTCCCAGTTACAAAAAAAAATTCAATAAATATTTTCTTTAATTTGGTTCTAATCTTTGGACAAATTGTTTTTGTTCTCCCCTTTTGAGTTCGAAAATGTACCTAAAGGATTTTTCTAATAATAAAGAAGCTTAAAAAAAAGAAATGTAAAATCCGTAAAACCGAAAAGCAAATCGTAATTTCAGTAATTATCTCCATAGAGTGAGGCCAACTTTCTCCAATTCTTTCATATATTTGTTTTCATCATCAGTGAGTAGACGTATCATCATAAGGCGACGACCCTGAGACGGTAAAGAAAGTATAAATAGGTTATCTAAAAATAAAACTAAATGAGAATGATAATAAAATTAATAATAATAATAATAATAATAATAATAATAATAATAATAATAATAATAATAATAAAAATAATAATAATAATAATAATAATAATAAAAATTATTTTTACCCACTTGAATGTGCAATCTTTGAGCGCCAATTAAATTTAGCTTAATTGGATATATGAACGTATCAATGCCAGTTGGTGGTATGCCCTTTGGTACTGAGAGCATAGGCTCTTCCAAGATTTTCTGATCACTTTTGAGAACAAATTATATCAATTATTATTTTATTTTTTATTTTTATTGTTTTAAACTTACATGGCCTGGAACTGTAGTGCGGTCTCAGCCATTCTTTCTGCTTCGTTTATTTTAGATGTTTTTTTTTTGCAGTAATAAGAAAACAAATTTCTAAACTAGCGAAGCTTTCAAAAAATAAATTCAAATTGTTGCAGAAAAAATATTAAACAAAATTATTTCTCTTTTGTCAATGATAAATTGTGCGACATGAAAATATGCGAGTGAGAGATTGAGAAAAAATTTGATGTACAATATTTGTTCTATTGTGAAGTGAAATCCAGATTATTCAAAATAGAGTTATTGTTTAATATTCTTTTTTAGCAACTGATTAGGAAGATTCCATCTCAAAGACCTCATTTTGATTTTGTTTACTTAAAGAAGATTAGAGCTTACAAAAGAGACAGAAATTAAGGAGCAAAATCTTGAATACGGAGGGAAGTTCAGCGGGGTTCTCATTCCGAACATTCGTAAATATCTTCTTCTTCTTTTTCATTGGCGCTTACGCGATTTTAGCCGAATCAACGTCGTCTTTGTCAACACCCAAAAGCCCATAAATAATTCGCAAGACTTTTGTCTTGAAGACCCTCAGGGCCGACTTATTAGATGTTGTCATCATCCAACCCTCCGTACCTTATAGCAGGATGGGAAAGATCAGTGTAGGTCACTTGTAGAGTTTGATCATTGCTCGTCGAGAGAGGGCTCTACTTTTCAAGTGCCTGTCAGTTCATTTGCTTTACAGCTCGCCCACTCCGCAACTATGTAGCAAATGGGAGATAGTCTATTTTGCCTGTCCAGTGCCCCAATATTTAATGGTTTTATATACATAAGTCAAGTGGCTTTTCTATTTTTTTTTTCTGCCATTAAAGATGAAGTCTGTCGTATTCGTGAGTTTGTCATGAATACGTTCTGAAGAATCCATGATGACAGTGATGTCAATAATGAGTTAGCCTAAAAGAGAGTTTTGCTGCGCGGTTTCGTAAAAATTATCGTATATAGGTTTCGTCTTCGAGCCAGCGTCATGCAGACTTCTCACTGACATCATCAAGGAATTTGTGTAGACGGAGAATGTTGAACATCTTTATGGCCTGGACTGAGCTTGATAGCTAGAAATTTCAATGACTCCAAGTGGAGTATGTGGACTGTGTAGTACGAGGAGGTTCCAAAAATTGAAGAGTGTATATTGTCTTAAGTTTATTACCCTCTGAGAGTCTTAAGGCATCAGTCGAAGGGATAATTGCTGTTGAACTGTTGAATCTCGAGTGGGCACGCAACGGCAAGCTCGATGTTGTGCGGTTCTTCTAAGTGATTAGAATGCGAGAAGAGGTTTTTGGGTTTTTGTGTGAGTGCTCGAGTGTCAAAATGTTTGGAAGAATTGCTGGTATGATCTTCTTTTGGAACTTCCCCCTATTGTAGAACTGAGTTCCGTGGACCCTGATTAAATTTACGGCACATTCAATGACGATTTTCACAAAATCCATAAGCCAGGTGACGGTTTTGGTTGACTTTTAGGTGGGAAAGTGAGCTTGAGGAGTTGAATTCAAGCGGCCGCAATATAGTAGCTCCCTGTACTCTCCAGATAATTTAGCTTTGAATGTGAGGGATAATTTGTAGATTAAACTCTGAGATGAGCTCTGCTGTATGGCGTGATTTGAAGCTGAGGTAAATAGGAGAGCAGGAAGGGAGTCAAGGAACTTAGACGGTAAATAAGATCCATTTGCATACAAATAAACAGTAAAATATCGGCAAAGAGCTTTCAATTTCCAGCACCAAAAATTACCGCTAAACAAAATGAACTCATAAACAACAACAACAAGGAAAAAGTTGAAAAAAAAAATCACAACATACCACAGAGGAAAGCTAAATAAAATCAATATCAATGAATTAAAAGTAGCAAAACTATGTATGTATGTTTGTGGCAATAGAAAAGTAACAAAAAAAAAAAAAAAGAAAAATAAAAACAGAAAACAAAATCAGTAGCAACAAATTGTCAAACGAAAACATAACAAATCTAATGAAGACAGACAGAAGGAAAGCAAGCAGCCGCAGCTACCAAATGAGCATTACTTCGGGCCACTACACCATGGACCATAACCGCGCCGATGAAGCTGGCAAAGCCATAAATGACAAGACTACTGCATAACTCTGCGTCAAGTCGAGTCAAGTATGTATGTATTGTATGTATGTTAGTATGTATGTATGTGAATGCTAGTAAGTAGTTTGCCTCAAATGTGGCACTGATCATGGCAGCGACAGTGGACGGTGGTCGTTTGCTGTGCAAGTAGACTTCGCAAATTTGGTCAGCTAGTGTGTACCGCTTCTTCCTACTCACCAATTGTGTTGCACTACTGCTGCTGCTCCTTCTGCTTCTTATTCTTCTTCTTCTTCAACTTGTACGCTAACTGCAACCATTTCTCTACGTCATTGATTCTCTATGATCGGTCGGCGGATATACGTATGTTTGCTCACTTTGTTTTTGTTACACTTTGTCGTGTATTTGTTGTTGCAGGGAAGTGATCTTGTATGCATGCATTGCATTCGTCTCTCACAGAACACAACAGAGTTGCTTTTCACGCGTCATTCGGTAGCTTTAAACGAGTGTTTGCACAGCGTTGCACATTCGTTTACATACACACATATACTCATACAATGTTTTCCTTATTGTCGGCAATGAAGGTCATCGCTATCCAATTATGGCGTATTCGCATCCGTTACTTTGTTTATGATTCGTCTTAGAGAATTCCTATTTTTCTACACATTTGGTCAGTTTGTTATGACGTTTTGCTATTGTCATGCCATGCTAGACCGATTCAGCGTTGTTAAAGCGCACAATGGCGATCGGTTGTTGTTTAGCGTACGGCGTGTATTGATTGAAAGGTTGCTATAAAATTTTATAGCAACTTTCGACGACTGGCTTTTAGTAGTGGATTCATAGAAATACACATAATAGAAATTCGATAGTTTTTGCTTTAAACGAAATTAAATGTTTTGGCATGGGCTGAAGAAAGGAAAGCTCCAGTGGTACGTGAACTGCAGAGGAGCGCAAACTCGAAATGTTAAGTTTTCCACATAAATCATTATCACCAGTGCCTTTTGCGACCAAGCATGCGATGTTTACAGTTTCGAAAAGTCTTGCCAGAAATATCAAAAGGCTCTCGAGCGCTCTGCAAGCTCATTTCTGCCACCATTTCGGAGTTTCCAAAGAAGTTTCTTTATAGCGATAGTCAAAAATGCTAAAGAGTCCCTTTTACATGTAATATAGGTTTCTCTGTCTGCCAACTAGTGCCATATAGACTCTTTCTAAAATTACCAAAGAGTTTGTAGAACGATTCCTGAGGCAGGATAGTAGTGAACCACTATTTGGGCCTCGATAGAAAGAAAGTTAGTAGAATTTTCTACAAGTAGCTCTCAATTATCACGTAGATTACATATTTAAGTTAGTGAGAGCTGCACGAGAAAAGCGCCTATCCTGGCAGTGCCTGAATTCTTTTACGAGGAGCTCAGAAGGAGGTCATAAAAAACCAGTTTTCTTCCCGTCTCATTTTTATTTATTTAAAATTAACTCCGCTTGGTCCTAGTGGAATTTCTACGATATGCTGGAATCACTGTACGGAATGTTTTTTCATTCGCAGTTTATGGTCAGTTCCTCCGTACATCTGCTTCTAGACAGTTGATTTTCGGTTAGAAAAAGCAGCGGCGATATCTGCATTTTTTCGGGACCAGCGATATTTGCACTCCAAGGACACATCTCTGGATTATTGAGGACACTCTGAGCAGCCCATTATCTGATTAAAACCCGAACGGTTGGTTTTAAAGTCGCAGTTGAACCGCATTATCGAAATTGCTCAGAAGAAATGCAACTTCTTTAGCTTAACCTACCTTTACCTATCCTCGATCCTTGCAGATCCTCACCATATTTCTATATATATTTGAAAACTATCTACTAACAAAATAGCAGTGAAACAATCTTAAGGAAAAATACTTGGTAAATAGCGGCCCTGAGGTAGGAACTCAACCTGACAATTACTTTTGCGACTTTAGATCAGATAAGGGGCCCCAATCCAACTTGTTTTTTTCGATCTATAAGGATACTTGTCTTAAGCTATTTAATTGTTTCTTCGGCCTTATCGTTTTTAAACTAACTTAATAGCCCAAAAACTTTCCTTCATAAAATATTTCTCACAGCGATACACAATGAATTTACTATCCCGATCCCGATCCTCAAACTGTTCCCGATACCCCCATGTTCATACGTAGAACATTTTCAAATAAATGAAAACCAGCCACAAAAACCTCACACAATATATATTTTTCTTACAGAGTCCGGACAAATTATATATTAAGGTAGTTGAATTAGAGCCAAAGATCACAACGTTAGGCACGAATCTCGATGAGTCCATACACTTGCAGAGGGATCACGATGAGACTCTTAGGAATATACAGGTGAGTTGGCAAAATATAATAAAGAGTAAAATTGAAATTAATTTTTTTCTCTCTCTCTCTTCCTTTCTGCGCGCCGCCCCACAGAATCTGCCCGGTCCGATGGACGAATTCGTACAGAAGGCCGATAAATTGCTCGCCAGCAAGCGTATCAGTTCTGAACTAGTCAATGCCATGGCCGATACGCTGAATATCATATGGCAAGACATATTGCATTTACTGCAAGACCGCCAACACATACTCCATCTGGCCACTCAGCTGCAAGAGAAGATGGTACAGTGTCAGCGGCGCATGGATCAATTGGAAGTGGCCTGCATCGACACTATGCTGCCCATTGAAGTGTCGGCCGTACAGGAGTTCCTCAATAAGTTCAAACAATTGCGCATCGATATGCTTACCGCAGTTATGGCGGCGTTGAAAGATGGCAACGAACTGCTCTCACAGCTGAAAGAACTTGTCGAGCTAGAAACACTCGATACACGGCCCGAGCATATTAAACGTGATGCGACACGCGCTGTACATCAGGTACAACAGTGGTTGGAGGCTCTACACGATAGACGCAATGCATTGGAGACCGCTTGGCAAACGCGTAAGACACAACTTGAACACTGCCTCACATTGGCGTTGCTCGGTCGCGAATTGGACGAAGTGGAGGCGGCGTTACGACAGCAACGCAGCGAAGTCGATAGCCTCTTCAGTCTGGGCGAGTGTGAGCACACGGCGAATAATGCTCTACACAATTATCGTGATTGGAAACAGCAAGCTTTACTGTTGCGTGATCGTGCGCTGAAGATTACGCGCGCCAAAGAAAAACTACAGGCGTCGGGTACTTTCACCGGCGACGAGGCGTGCGCGCGCGCCTATAATGTGCTGAGCGCATGCACCGAACACTTGGATCTCGTGGATCAACGTGAACACTGGCTACAGCAGTCACGCGATTTCTTTGCTAAAGCAGAGAATACACTCAGTGTGTTGGAGAAGCTTGAGGTAGAGTTGGCTAATGTGCGCTTGCCACCCAACACGCCGGAGAGTTTCGCCATGTACGCGAAGGTGGCGCGTGATGTGCGCAGCTTTACGGAAGAGCCGCTTCGGCTGGGTTATAGTATATTGGATGAGGTGGGTCGCACGCAACCCGAAACACAGGGTGTGAAACGTGTACTCGATGAAATAGAGAATCGTAAAACGTACATTGAGAGCGTGTGTTCGAGCAGTAATGATGATCATCAACGCGTGCAGAAAGCGCTCACAGACTTCCTCACGCAGTACAATGATCTGCTCAACTGGTTGATGTCTTCGGGTCAATTGTATTTGCAGCAACATGTCGACATGGGCAGCACATTGCAACAGAGCAAACAGTTTTTGCTGCAACATCACGAACTCATGCAGGATCTGGAGGTATGTGTAATAGTTTTATTGTATGATCAATTTATAAATCAAAATAAAATCTACTCTCTCTTACAGATCAAAGGCGAGTTGATAAATCTGCTGCTCGAGTCCATAAAAGCCCACCTCGAGTCGTTGAGTCCTCAACAACGTTACGATGTCGACTCGAAAGCGGAAGCTCTGCACAAACACTGGATTGAGCTGAAGGACATGGTGTTGAAGCGTGTCGACTGTGTCTCTTTACTAATCGAATTCTTCGAGAAGGCAAATGAGTTGGCTAGCCAATTGGATAATCTGGACAAACAGCTCAAACAGACACCTGACGAACAGAAATTACAATTTCTGCAGGAGAATTGGCAGCACATAAGGGCCGATTATGGTGCGCTGAAGAGTTCGGGCTCACGATTTATCAATTTGAAAGTGTGTATGGCTTTGGTTTCCTATGATATTTACTGAATTCTAATATTTATGTATGCCATATATAGTTATATTGTAGTTTTGTAATTAGTTTTAGTAATTCTCCGGTTTTAATTTAAATTAATTAACGCATAATTCTTTAAGCTTTTGATAACTAACACCTTCAAAAATTGGCTTTTTCAAAAAAAAAATTTTTTAAATTTTACAGTTCAATTTCTAACCAATTAGTTAACAACAACTTTAAAATTCCAGCAGCTTTTTAATATGCATACATTTTTTTTTATTATTTCTTTGCTGAAAAAATAATAATTTTATTTTTGGTCCTTGAGAGTTCGAGTTTCAAATAATTCATTTTTATTTACTTTGCCAAACACCGCTTCATTAAATTCACTATTAACTTTAATCAAAGTACTTCCATCATTACAGACCATTTAATTATAAACCGTCAAAACTGAACTAAAGCTAGCCTTATTATGGATCCATTCGCACTATTTTCCTACTCCATAATGGGGTTAGGAGCCCTAAAAAATAACATTTTTCAAAAATTTTTCAAGAGGAATTTTTTAGGTTTATTATTTCGAGCATTCGTACACATATTATGACACCTTTGAAGAGTAGTTAGCAATTTTTCATTTATAAAAATAACGGTTTTTGAAGCTACTAGAGCAGATCTGACAGTAACCCTCCCAAAAAAGACGTTTTTCGGTGATTGAATTTCTGAAATGAATCATCTGAAATGAAGATATCAAACGGATTTCTTTAAAGTAATGTATAATATTGTGATTAAACGAATGAATAGCCAAAAAAAAATTCTTTTCACAAAATGGCGGCTTTTCAAAAAATATTAAATTTTTTTTCATAATTTTAGTCTTGAATTGCGCATTAAAAATAATTTTCGTCAGTAATGGAAAAGATTCGATTAAGTACTACAAAAATTTGGGAGTAATCAGTTCAGCCGCTTCCGAGAAATCTTGTTCGCCGACTTGAAAAATATAGTTTTGAGAAAAAAGCACCGCTTTACCGCTTTCAAATACTCTAACGCGTCGTCACAGATATGCGTATAACTTTCAAAATAACAGTCGGATCGACTTGAAATTTTCGGTGTACTTTACTTGAATTCATGTACATTACAAAAATAAGATGAAAAACATCGATTTTATGAAAATTCTAACTAGTTGTAACCCCTTTATTATATCTCAGTTAATATTTAACGTAGTGACTCCAACCTTTTTGGGCAACACAATAATTGCGGATTTTTTAAAAGAAAGTAAATGTATTTCTAATAAAACTTAGAATGAACTTTAATCAAATATATAATTGCCATTTTGTTCGATAACCTTTTGCCATCTTCCTGGCAAATTTAGTATTCCACGTTCATAGAACTTCTGGCCTTTATCTGCAAAAAACTGAACCAAGTGCGATTTTATAGCCTCATCATTGCCGAAAGTTTTACCATTTAAGGAGTTCTGCAAAGATAGAAATAAATGGTAGTCTGATGGCGCAAGGTCAGGGCTATATGGTGGATGCATCAAAAGTTCCCAGCCCAGCTCACTCAGTTTTTGACAGTGACCAAAGATGTGTGGGGTCTAGCGTTGTCCTGGTGGAATATGACACCTTTACGATTGACCAATTCTGGTCGCTTCTCCTTGATGGCTGTATTCAATTTGTCCAATTGTTGACAGTTAACATCCGAATTAATCCTTTGGTTCCTTGGAAGCAGCTCAAAATATACGACACCCTTCCAATCCCACCAAACAGACAGCATAACCTTCTTTTGGTGGATATCAGCCTTTGAAGTGGTTTGAGCTGGTTCACCATGATTGGACCATGATCGTTTTCGACTAACGTTGTTGTAACAATCCATTTTTCATCTCCAGTTATGATTCGTTTTAAAAACGGATCGAATTCATTGCGTTTAAGCGTTGACTCGGTGTGTTAAATGAATTTCTTTCAATACATGTGGCACCCAAATATCAAACTTTTTCATCAGTCCAAGACTTTTTATGTGATAATGAACGGTTGATTTTGGTATATTTAACTTCTCTCCTATCTCACGCTCAGTTACATGACGATCCAATTCGATTAATGCTTTGATTTGGTCATCATCAACTTCATTTGGCCGACCTGAACGTGGCTCATCTTGACGTGGAAAATCTCCAGAACAGAATTTGCGAAACCAATTTTGACACTGTCTTTCTTTTAAGGCTTCATCACCATACACATCTCTTAACTTTTTAGCAACCTGCTCCGCGTTTTTTCCTTTACGGAAATAATAAAGTAAAATATGACGAAAATGCTCCTTTGTGGGCTCCATATTAAAATTGACGCCAAACAAACAAATGTAAGCAAAATTTCGCGCGCTTTTTTTCTAAAGCAAGCTAAAAGTAACAGCTGATAACTGACAGAAGAAAGAATGCAATTACAGAGTCACAAGCGGTTTAAAAAATTTGTCAACGTCGTTTATATAAAAAATCCGCAATTACTTTTTGGGCAACCCAATATATGAGTTTCTAAACACGCGTTCAAAGTTTTTTGAAAGTTGCCCTGTGTGCGTGAGACAGGTGTGTTCGAGAAGCTGCCATTATTCATCGTATTCAAAAAACCCTTTAAACATATACTTGCGATTTAACAACTTTGCGCCATTCTTTTCTTCTTTTTGCTGTTTGGCCAATCTGCATGGTCTTTCCAACGGAGTGGTGGTCTTCCCTTCCTCTGTTTCCACCGGCAGGTATTGTATAGAAGCTGGAGTATTCTTATCCATACGGAACACATGACGGCCGCTGAACTATATCAATATCGCCGTATATCTCATACAGCTCATCATTTCCTCGGCTGCGGTATTCGCCGTTACCAATCTTGCTCTTGACAGCTCCTAACTCCGTCATCGTCTATACCTCCGCACTATACAGCAGGACAGGAACCGTAAGCAACTTGTAGAGTTTGGTTTTCGTTCGTCGCGAAAGGGCTTGGTGTGTGTCGATCCTCTTTTCACGGGTCTTTTCCAAGATTTGGCACATGGTGGATTTCTGGTCAATGGTTGATTTACCAGGTCTGAAGCCACACTGATAAGGTTTAATCAGTTTGTTGCTCGCTCGACAGGACCTTATATCCGATATTAAGGAGAATCATCCCACGGGAATTGGCGCAGACTGTCGTCCCCTTTTTGATGGATTGGGCAGAGCCCACTTAAATTCCAATCGTCGGGCATGCTTTCGTCCGACCATATTCTGCAAAGTAGCTGATGTATGAACCTTTTCAGCTCTTCACCGCCATGTTCGAATAGATCTGCCGGTAGGCCGTCAACTCCCGCTGCTTTGTTGTTTTTTAAATGTGTTTTCCATCGTCATCGATTGGGGTTTCGGGTTCACCATCCCCATTTTCACTACTATTCAGCAGGTTGGAAAAGTGTTCCCTTCATAAATTTAGTATATTCTGAGCATCGATGGCTAGAACACCTCTTTGTGTCCTATGAGAGTCTGCTCCGGTCATGAAACCTTTCGTAAGTCGTCTTATCTTCTCTTCAAACACATAATCTACAAATATATGGCTTTCATTTTTTGCGTAAAAAAATTGATTTTTTGATCCAAATTTTTTTTTGATAGAAGATTGTGTCAAAGCAAGAAATTACTGATATAAAATAAAATATCGGTTTGGAAATAGAATTCCAAAAGATCTGCCATATTTGGGATAATTTAGAAGGAATATGCGAAAAATCAGGGTTTTCAAAATAGACCAACAATTTTAAGAACTTTCATTTATACTTATTCAACAAATTTCAACAAAGACTGTATTCAAGTTTAGATCAAAAAAATTAAAAAAAAATTTTTAAATAAAAAAAAGTTATAGAAATGGTAACAATGCAATATCCCTTTAGCTCAACATTTTTTTTATCGATTTCTCAAACAACAAAAAAAAATATAGAATTAAACTCTCATTTCAAACTTTCATTGTCCACTAGAACTGAGACAAAACTATATTTTATTATTGCAATGTATGCTGTATTTTCGACTTTTCCTTGATTATTTTTCAACAGTTTTTCGAATTCGAAAAATTTTCTCTCAGTGTACCAGCAAATGTACTTTATACTCGCTATCAAATCATTTGCTGGTCGTGAAGACAGCAAAAGCACTTGTTACGCTCAACTCATTTGCAATTAATTTCGTTATGACAGGAAAATTAATTTTACTTAATGCCCATTTTTGACATGTTAACCAAACGAGAAATATGTTTTTGACAATATACACGAGCATAATTACATTTAAAAGTACTTTTGATGCAATGGAAAAACTTAATGTTAAAAACCAAGTGGTGAGAAGAAGAAGGTGCGCACAAACAACATTGACAATGAAATTGCTGTTGACGGTCCACTTTGTTTTTTTCACTCAACTGATGTGGCAACCATGTATCGAGCTTCAAAGTGTACCCAACCTTTTTTAAATGACGAAACGCAGTTGAATTTGTTGACGTTCAATTCACTGGCAACCTCTTCCGTCGAAATACGTGAGTTATTCGCAACTAAAGTCCTTAGAACATCGTCTTCAAGCTCAGAAGGCCGTCTTCGAGGTTAAAATCTCCAGAACGAGATTTCGCGAACCATTTCTTTACTGTGCGGAGTGCTGGAGCACGGTCCAAATAAACTTCGCGAATATCTTTAGTTGCAGCGCCTACTGTTTTTCCTTTGCGGAATTCGTATAACATAATATGGCGCATATGATCTTTTTCGTTGTCCATCTTCCATGCGTCTTTTTACTAAGCAACTTAAATCAAAATGAAGTTATTTTATGCTTGATTTACAGTTCGGACTGTCACCTTTCTAACGATATATAATATGTATATATTTCTTTCACGGGCGCCACTCTCAAACGATTCGAACGGCATCCAGCGGAATCGGGCACGAACTTATGCACTCATCCAATAAATAACAGAATATTCTATTGCTATACATTTTTGAAATTGGCGAAAATTTCCCAATAAATTTTTCTTCAATATTCTTCTATGAAACTTAAACTAAATGCTTAAAGAAATTAGTAAGGAACAACTAATAAATTAAATATTTAATAAATATAAATAAATAAAAAATAGATAATAAAATTTAATAAATAATAAAAAATAATAATAAAAATAAATAAATAATAAAAAACTAATAATAAAAATAAATAAAACATAAAAAATGAACAACTAAAATAAATAAATTATTAAAGTATAAAGTTAAATAATTATACCTTTAGTTAATTTTTTGTTTGGAGTATTGATAGTTTTTTTCACATTTTACAAAAATTTAAACTATTTCCACACTATAAATAAAAAAAATATAATATTAATAGGAAACGCTTTATACCTATCAAATTTACTTCTTCTTTCTACTGCATTTGTAATAATAAATATTTATGCCCAATTCTTTCTCTTAGTAATCACTCCCCCACACTTAATCCTCTCACCCGGGTGTAGTTGAAAGCATCTTATACAATTATATTTTCGTGCTTATTCCAAGTTTCTGTACAAATCTTACACAAAACAGAATTAATGACTGCTCCATTTTGCGCTCTACGAAAATAGAGGAAAAATGCAAGTGAAAAATAATTCCTAGAAATTATATGTGTCTAGGAACTTAAAAGCGACAAGAAACAAGTTGCGAGTAGCCCAAAAGTAAATGTAAACAATTATGTGAGGCAAACTGTACAAAAGCATTGGATTGCATTGCATTGCATTGTGGGGAAATGAAGCTATTAAAAGAGTTTTCCACCGAGTCCCAGTAGAAATACAAGAAAATATAAAATAAAAAAATTAAAAAAAAACACACCGATAGAAACTCACATGTAACAAATCATTAGTTGTATATAGACATTTTTTTTGCTGCAGTATGTTGTGCCAAAAAAAAAGTTTGCAGAAACATTTTATTTACTCTAGCAGTCAGTCAGCGAAATAAACACTTTCTAAAAATATAAATGCATCATTTGGAGTAGCCTCCAACTTCAAGTCACGTCCGTCAGTCTGCAATTATCTGGATGAATGTGCTGAAATGTGAGCAATAATTTGAGAAATTCAGCAAATTTGTGTATTTCACATTGTAATATTAACTTGTGATAGGGAAAGTGTAGCGTTTGTAAGAGTATAGAAGCGAATCTTTCAACTTCTTTAAATTTAAGTATCTGTTAATTTTAATTTGATTTTTATTTTTCAAAATCAGCTATTTAAAATAGTTTTTCTCTAGCCTTTTGTTTTAACATCAAATTTAATTTTTCACTAAATAGGTACGAGTCTTTGCTAGAAAATGCCTAAATGTAGGCAACATTTATATATTAGTAGCGAATTGTTGTTATTTTGTACTTTAAAATACTAGTTGTGAACTAGTATTCTTGACTTCAAACGGCATTCATACTGATTTGTTTGTCGAATTTCGCAAAGTTTTTAATTTTATGCTAATATATGTAATATTTAATTTTTTTTCGTACATGAAAAATGGCAAATTCAATCATTTGTTTATTATTTGCTTTATACAATTAGCAGGGAAAATGTTTATTTAATTTTTTTTTAATTTTTAAATAAAAGAACAGCTGCGCCAAAATTTGTGGCTAATCTTCATACTTATTCCGATTTTACTTTTACTCGTAAATACTTATACAAGTACGAGTGTGCATATGTATTTTATATATATATGTAAATTTATGAGGCAGACAATAATTATTATTTGCAGAAAAAGGAAATATCATTTTTTGCCTCAATATAAAAATCATTTCTATGAAAAACTCGATTTTTGGTAAGATACTGGAATCCTTAGAAAATTTAACAAACCAAAAAAGTTTTTACAAACCATTGAATACTGAGTCCGATTATTACAGTTGGTGGATTCGTAAAGGATAACATTAGAATAAATTTTTACATAAAATTAATAACATTACAAGAGCAATTAACTAATTGTTTTTTTAAACGATTTTACACACTCAAAAAGATTTTTTTTTAATAATTTTATTTGAGTTAAAATGCTTAAAAAAAACCTTAAACTTTTTCGTTTTTTTTTTCGAAATTGTGTCTTAAGAGTCGATTATCAAAAGATCTCGAAAAGTACTGAACCAATCGTGATGAAATTTTACACAAGTCTTAGGAGATACATTTCACAAGAAAGTGAACGAAGTATTTTTTTCTATCAAAATTACTTAAAAAAAATGTAGAGTGAAATTTAGCGAAATTCTCGTTTTTTTTAAATAAAATCGGTCAAAAATGTAATCTTCCCTTTTTTACAGTCCTTCATTCAAATTCTGATTAATACCATAAAACATGATACAAAAAACAAGGTAGTTTCACTCAAAATTTTTTTTTTTTATTTTTTTTTTAATAAATTTTCAACTATATAAATTTAAAAAAAATATCTTACAAAAAATATACAAAAAATAAAAACATAAAATGTACGCACAAAAAACACCATCGTATTTTATGAAATCTAATGGAAATAAAATTATTTTCAGGCAACCTAGCATTTTTGTTTTTATAAAAAAAAATATATATAATATTTTTAAAGTGGCTCTAACTTGAAGCTAAAATGAGAATGAGATTAATAGTCAAAAAATTTTCTGTCATTTTTATATTGAGGGGAACTAGCTTCCGTTTTCGTATTATTTTATTATGTGTTATTTTGAAATGTGTTCCACTATCAGCGCCGATGCACCTTTCTCTCAGGCTGGAGTTATGAATATTTTGCTTTAAAAATTTTATTTATAACTTATAATTTTAATAACAAATGCATGTAAGCCGCAAAATTTCTTGTCGTTGAAAAAATTTTTTAATGTCTGCGAAAACCGTCGCATTCGTTGGAAGCCAAAACTGGTGAAAACGGCGGATGTGAGAGCAATTTTAAATTCAGTTCATGCAGTTTTGCTATTGTTATTGATCGAATTGTGAAAAGAAATTAATTTTTTTTTCCATATGCGGTGGCTTCTTTTCAATTTTGCCTTTCCAACGCTCCAATATTGCCATCACTCTGTGAGCAAAAAGTAAGGTGAATGTTGAATTTGAGCTTCGCGCGTTTAATAATTAGCATCATTGGTATTTCAGTTACGCTTTTGTTTACTACGACAAAAAGTGTCTTCGTGGTTTGTGCATCACGATAATGCACGCAGCACTCATTCTTAGTGACCATTTCGCTAAAAATTCCACGAATATCGTTCTGTGACCTTTGAGTCTTTCGAAAACTCTGGAGACCACTTCAAAGACACCTGTTTGAGTCGTTTGGGGAGATTAAACGTGAGATAGCGCGCTGTCCGAAGGCCATACCAGAACGAGACGACTACTTGACATTCTTGGATAATTCAAAAAATCATTGGCATAAGTGCATTGCATCGGCAGGGGACAATTTGAAAGGCGACGAAATCGATTTAGAAGAATAAATAAAGATTTTTAGTTTTGCAAACAAATTTAACTTACTTTTTATCCATAGCATTATTAAATCTCAGATCATGGAGACACTATTCATATTGAAGTGATGAATGCATGTTTCACCCATTGCCATATATCGACGCAAAAATTGTGCGTTGTTACGGCTAAGCATGACCAGACGCGGTATACATTTTAGACTGAGCTTTCTCACAGTCGAATGCTCGTGCTATAAAAAGCCAACGCATTCTTTTGGTATTTTTACGATATCAGCTAACTAACGCAATTTCAATTTTTGTTCATTAAAAACGATTTTTTCGGTTTCTTTTGATGTTTTGTAATCATTTTTATGTCAACTGTGTTCGGTATGGATGTCGCTACGACTGCGTTTGAGTTCAGCAAGTTGGCATTTTTTTTTATTGTTACTGATAAAAGAGAGGCCTTAAAACACTTTTCAACTCATTGATTTGCGCAGAGCCATAAATGGTGTTTTCAAAATTCATAAAATCATACATTTTATTAATTTTATTTTATTTGAAAATAAGCGCTTAGCAAGTGTACTCCATGCCATGAGGTGCCAGACGTTTCATGGTCTTTAGAGCATAATTTTCATGAGCGCACTTTAATTCAATTACCTCGTCAAACAGATAATTACCAACAGAACGATAAGCTATAAAATCAAACAAATTACTCTATTAACTAAGAATGCATTTGAAATTCATTTGAAAATTATAAATATAAGCTAGAGAACATTTTCCAGAGAGCGCAATATTAAAATTAAATAGTGGATAAGAAATAAAAATAAAAAATAAAAAATAAAAAAGGCAGCAACCAATAAATTGTGCTTGGTATATAAATATAAGTGGGATAAACACTTTTACCACTGCCATAAATTATTTACAATTTTTTTACTTTTGGTATCTGATCAAACAGATTTTTACATACCTACAAAATATACTTTTCTAATATACAATTGCCTCTCACAACCAATACGATCTCATCTTCATCACCATCGTCAGCACCATCTTCATTTCCATCTACTCCCAGCCAACCTGCTTGCTGCCCTTTTTGCTTTGATTTTTTGAGTTTGCCTATTTAAAAGCGGCACGCGTTTTCAGCACGATTTCGGGAGCATGCATGGCTGTCCGCTACAAGCACTTAAAATACAAATATGTATGTGAGTGCATATTGTTTTGTAGAGTTGAAACAAAAAAAAATTAAAAAAATAAACACAAAATTAGTAACAAAATGTATTGCACGAGTATATAGTACTGTTTATATGTATAAATAGAAGTATTTTAATGGAAAACAAGAGCACAAGAGTTTATAGCAAAAATAAAAAAAAATAACTAAATATATTTCTTCTATTTCTGTCATTTCAAAAACAACAACAACGAAATCTATATATCCACATTTTGGCGTTGGGCTCATACATACGCACAAAAACTATGTGTACTCGTATGCTCACGCACACACCAACCATCGACGCTTTTTTCTTCCCGCCGCGGCACATACACTCACACACACACACAGATTGTGGATCCATATCTAGAGACAAAATCCTCAGTGACGGCAGTCGAAGATATCCTCAACGGTTTCAGTAAGCGTCAAGTCGATGTAACAACCAGTCTAGACAATTGGACAACACAGATAGCGGAGAAGCGTGAAGTTGAAATAATACTGGAGAAAATCATGAGTGACAATGAGGAGGTGAGTGAGTGGGCGTGTATCTACATTCAAATATTTATACATTTGAAAATATATATAAACAAATAAATAAAGTAAAAGATAAAATCATTTTAAAAAGTGAAAATTAAAAACCAAGAAAATATTTAATAACCGTTTGTGGCGAAGATTTAAACAAATGAAAAATAAAATCGATTAAATGGGAACGGTAAACTAAAAAGTGAATATTGGAAATTCAAAATAAATCAATGTATAAATTACCAAAGTTAATTAAAATCCTATAAAAAAATATAGTAGAATAAAATAAAATAAAATAAAAAATATAAATTAAATAAAATAAACAAAAAAATAATATAATTAAAATAAAATATTAAAAAAAAGTAAAATAAAATAAAATTAATTGAAATAAAATTAAATAAATTAAGACGATGTAAATAAATTAAATTAACAAAAATACAACGAAATAAACAGATTAAAATAAAATCAAATCAAATAAAAAAATTAAATAAATAAACGTAAAGTTAAATGAAATGGAACAAAAAATATAATCAAATCTAATATTATAAATAATTTAAAATAAAATAAATGAATAAACTAATACTATTATTAAAAAAAAAATAAATTAATAAAATAATATTATTATTAAAATAAAATAAAATAAAATAAGGTAAAATATAGTAAATAAAATTAGATAAAATCTAATCAAATTAAAAAATAAATAAAAAATTTAAAATGAAGTATATTAAAAAAAATTAAATTAAAAAAATATAGAAAAAAAGAAAGCCGATTGAAGAAAAAAATAGAATTAAATAACACAAAATTAACTAAAATATGATAAATAAAAAACAAGAGTAAAATAAAACAGAATAAAAAAATAAAAAAATTACATAAACAAACTTAAAGTAAAATGAAATGCAAAAAAATAAATTAAAATAAAATTTAAGCAAATCAAGTAGAAAATATAAATAATTTTAAATGAAATAAAATAATAAAATAATATTATTATAAAAATAAAATATAATAAAATAAGTTCAAATGGAGTAAATAAAATTAAATAAAATCAAATCAAATTAAATTTTAAAAATAAATCATTTAAAATAAAATAAAATAAAATAAAATAAAATAAAATAAAATAAAATAAAATAAAATAAAATAAAATAAAATAAAATAAAATAAAATAAAATAAAAATAAAATAAATAAAATATAAAGAAAGGAAAATCAAGTGAAGAACAAAATGGAATTAAATAACGCGAAATTTACTAAAATGTGATATATAAAAAACAAAATAAAATAAAATAAGTAAATAAATTAATATAAAATGAAAAATAAAATACAATAAAAAAATAAAATCAAACAAAAAAAATTAATAATTTAATATAAGATAAATTCAAGAAAATTAAATAATATTAATTAATAAAATAAATAAAACAGAACTAAAAGATTTGAAATAAAATAAAATAAAAAATAAAAATAACAAATAATAAAAGAATATGAAACGAAAAAATATATTAAATTAAATAACACGAAATAAAATAAAATACAAAAAATTAATTAAAAAAAAAAATGATATTAAATTTGTTTATAAATAAATTTAAAGAATATAATAAATTTAATTTTACTTGGTTAAACTTTGTTTAAGTCTCACAACGCAAATTGAAATACTTTAATGGATAAATGAAGAGCAAAAAAGTAAAGAAAAATATATAGATAAAGAAAATTTTAAAACCCGAATGTAAATAAAGTTTAAAATGAAAATTAGACGAAAAAATAAAATAAATTAGTTGTAAAGATAAATAAAAAATATTTAAAAAAATTTAACTGAATGCTTAATATTAAAAAAGTAATAACTATGAAAATAACAACAAAACTATTTTTAAATAGAGAATAATTTTATTTATATAATTTTAATTTATAATTATTTATAAAATTTTAATTATTAAATTGATTGGAGTTAAGAACAAAATTAAGAAACAAATATAAAAAACTAGAATTTTATTAAAAAAAAAACACATAACCATAAATAACAGTTGTATACAAGAAAACACAAAAAATCAGTTAAAATTTTGCTTGTTTATATTTTGGCTATTTTGTTTATAAATATTTCTTCTCATTCATTTTCCTTCCAATTTTTGCTCACCGATCACACCGCAGACTGCCACAAAGACAACACAAGTCGATACACAATTATATCCGGTTTTCACTTCATCCTCGCTTGACGCACGTCAACTACACACCATCACCAGCGATAAGCTCACACATGTCCTACAGGACATCGACAAAGCGCAGGATGAGCTACAACATCGCATACACACCACACTCGGCATACAAACGAAAAATCCCGAATCACTGCAGAAAATCGAACAAGTCATAAGTAATTTACGTTCACTGAAATCCAAATTAGAGGGCATACGCTACGATTATAAGACACTGCTGGAGAACATACTCAAATTCTTGGCCGAGATCACCGAACTGCAACGCAGCATCGATGATTTCTTCGCCAAACAACAACAGCAGCAACAACTGAGTGGCGGTGGTGTTGTTGGTGGTGGTGGTGGTGGTGAGGTCGCCGATATTGAGCGCATCATTACCGAACATGAGAAATTCCGCGATACATGCATGGATAAATTTAGATCGTTAATCACACAATCCGAACTGCTGATCGATCGAGTGCGTGCACTGGAACCGCCGGGTGCACGCGAAATCGACACCGATCGCATACTAAAATTACTGGAGAATTTGCGTATTCATTTCGAGGCGAGCAATAGTGAGAGAATGTCGCGTCTGGAGCGGCTCGGTAAGCTGGAGCAATTCAAAACGGATTTGTGCGATATGAATCGCAGTCTGGATAGTGTCAGCAAGCAATTGCATGAGATCAATGGACAAAGTGTTGATAGCTTGGCGGCGGCGAAGACAACATCGTTGGCGTTTGAGTATTTTGAGCGTACCATTGAGGTGAGTATATTGTTGCTGGGTATGGGTGAGGGTGGCGAAGTGGGTGATTGGAAGTGTAGCGTGTGGACATTTTAACTGAAAAATGAAACAAAACAAACGGTGTGGCTGTTATTATGTGATGTGCCATTGCGCTATTGTGTTGGTGAATATTTGTGTGGAAAATGGGTGTGTATCGTTTTATTGCAGGTGCTTGATGCTGCGGCAGTTCAGGCCAGATGTTTTGTGTTTTCATTATAATTTTTCTTTGCTTTTTTTTTTATTTCTTTCTCTTGTTTCACGTTCGTGTGTTGAGGGTTCAATGGACAATTTGTGAAATGTTTATAAAAGAACGTTTTGTAACAAAAAAAAAAGAAAAATAATTATTAAAAAAATTAATTTAGTGAAGAATAAAAATAATGAAATTAAAATTGTGTTAAAAATTAAAAATAAAAATACAGAAAGAACAAGAAAACTTCTTACAAATTAAAAAATTTAGTTAAAAGAAGTTAACTTTTCACTTCTAAGCCATGAATATGTGCGTGAAATTAAATTAAAATAATTAAAAAAAAATTACTAAAAATTATTGACATCAAAATTTAAATGTTTAATAACAACAGAAGTACTAAAATTTATTCTAAACCTTTTTCTATTTAGAAAAAATGCTAAGTTATACAAAGAAAGTGCAAGACATTTCTTAAATTTCATTGTGCGTTGATTACGAATATTTTCAAAAATACAAAATTGCAGAGATAAACGTTAAAGTTTTCGATATCTTTTATTATTAAAATTTTATTTTTTGATTGAGCACAGTTATTGCAGAAAATTAGTTAAATTAATTTTTCCTTAATGTTGTCATTACAAGGTCTCCCTAAACTTTATAGACGCACAATTTTAATATTCTTAATTTAATATTCAGCTGTAGAAAATGTTTTAAACAACAACAAATTACGTTTAACATTTTTCAGAACTAATTTTTATAAAAACTTACAATTTTGATATTAGAATATATAATATTTAAACATAAAAATCGTTTCTGAAAAAAAATGAGCAAATCGAATCCTGAGCTAATTTTTTGAAAATATTTTATTTATATTTTGCAGTAAACTATTTTTAAAACACTTTGAATGGTTTTCAAAAAAAGAAATTATTTAACTAAAATTTTTTTAAACTAAAAAAGCTGATTTTCAATTTAAAGAATCTATTTTTTATATCGTGAAACATAGAAAATAGTTAAAAAAGAGTAGTAAAAGAAACGTTCTAGACCAAAATTTTTATGTATTTAAATGAATTTAAAAACTGAATAATTTATTCTATGATTCTTTTAATTCAATGCGCCCATTGAAATTTTTTTAAATACTGATAGTTCAAAAAAAGAATTTTTTTTTAATTTTTTATAATATTTTCAGATAAAAATTGTCAAATAAAAAATATGCTTATATGATATTTTTTCAAATACGTCTAAAACAAAAAAAAAAAACTAAAGATTTTTTTCCAGCTTCTGCAGCTGCCAAAGTATATATATAGAAAGCAGTAAAAATGTTTTTTGAAGAGAATAATTTTTTTATTAAATTTTTTAACGGCAATGTCCAGTCTTCTTATAGCCTTTTTCATGGAAGTGAAAGTAAAAAGTTTTTTATTTTTGAAAACTTAAAAAGGATGCTGCACAAATATGCTTTTTTTTAATACTGATAAACGGAAAGGTACTCATGAAGAAATATTGATAATACTTTTGATATAAATATTTTACACAAATCATTAAAAATTAACTGATTTCTGAGAGGAATGTTTTTTGCTCATTTTCTAAACCATTGAAATGTGTTTTTTCCTGAAAGCTGGGAAAGATTAAGAAAATTTTTTCATAAAATTCTTATTATTCAGGTGCGAGCCTATACAACAATTCTTCTTCATTTATACTTAATTTAAATTCAAATCACTATTTTCGAAACTCGTTTGTATATTATATCATATAAATAGAATTTTCTCACTTCTTCAACTGTAAAGCAAAAATTTATTTTTTCTTAAACTATAATATGCATATACATATGTATGTATATAAAGTATGTAATTAAATAAATATTTCTAAATCACTGAATTTAAGCTTTTACATAAAAAAAGATTAAAAAGTTGTGAGGATTTTGAAATGAGAATATTTTTAGAAAATATATTAATATTTTTAATAGTTTTATAAATTTTTTCCAAAACATAATTTTTAGGTAAATTGCGGCCTGACCAGAAACCAATGAAATCAATATATGAATTTCTCTCACATTTTCTGTACTCCACCAAAATAGCTATTTTAAATAGTGTTAGTTTAAAAAAACTTAGAGAAAATATTGCTTATTTTTTTCGTAGTCTCAAATATTTTTAATATATTTTTTTTATATTTCTTTCCTCAAACTGAATATTTATAGATGTTAAAATAAAAAAAAAAACATCATATTTAAAATTGAAAGTCGTTATAAATAATTTTTTTAAAACCTGAAGGGGGCAGAAAGATTATGACTTTTTACTCAATTTTACTATTTAAATAAATTAGATAAAATATTTACAGTACGTTTTGATAGAATCTTAGTTTATAATAATTTTTAATAATTTTGAAAAAGTATTAACGAAACTTCTGTGCTTTTTTAGTTGAGGTAAAAATATTTTTTTTAGTTATTTTTTTTTTAATGACTGTCGTTGTTGTAGTTGTAGTAAACGCAAAAATTTTCTCCAAATAGTTTTTCAGGGAATATTACGAGAGTGACATTACTTGGCTGAATGAAAATCCAGCTCTTTCCGGTATAAAGAACGCATTGGTAATAAAATTTACAGCGTGACAGTGAACTCAGAATACAAAATGGTAACTAAATTTACTGAATGGTAAATTTTAATACCAAAGTAAAGTTGGTTACTTCGACAGAATAGGCCTGTAAGCCGCAAATTTAGTGATCTTCCTTCACACATACATATATGCACATTCAAAAATTTTGGTATACATTTTTTTTTGAATAGTTAATATTTAAATTTGTGAAAAAACTTTTAAAGTATAAGTTAAAAGACATCAATAATTCAATTAATTATTTTTGCACACAAATATATACTTTTTAATATATATATTTTTATAATTTTATAATTTTTGAATGGACGAAAATTTTAATGATTGTATATTTTAAGTGTAAACTTTTGTTTGATTGCCAAAAATAATATTTATTTATTTATAAAAATAATATATATGTATGTATGTATAACAAATTTCAGAACTCAATGCCAACAATTTTGGTGCCCGTTAAGCATCAGCTACGTTGGGGTCATAATAGCCAACCGATTGAGGTATTGTAGTTCATGTACACACATATATTTACATAAGTGTATTACATGTATTTGTTAGTTAATTATTTGATGAATTAATTCATTTAGAATCTATCTAACACTAAAAGTTCTATTCAAATGTAATTTTTCTTCAAAATAAAAATTGACACTACAGTCACACCCAGACAATAATTTTCTGCCTTTGCTCATTTAAAAACTAAAAAAAAATATAAAAAATCAATCGCACACGTATAATAAAGAGCAATTATTCAATTTAATTGCCCTGATTGTCTATAAGTTTATATGCATGCACACGCATACACATTTAATGGTGTGTGTGTGTGTGTGCATATGTACATATGTAGAATCTCGCAGTTCATCGATCCATCCGTCAGTTTGGTTGACGGCGCCACAGCAGCCGGTAAATGTCAACGCATTCAAGACAAGTTCATTATTTGTTTAGCTTGGATTTGTTGTTGTCGGTGTTTTCGTTTTTCTCTTTTTCGAATTTATTTCGTATTTGTTTATATACTATATGCGTTTGTATGCGTAAATGCAAGATATGTTCAGCATGACGCAAATCATTTTTGTTTTTTTTTTTTATTGGCCACGCGTTCATACACACACACACACACTCGCTGAGTAAAAAAAAAAAAACTATAGAAAAAACTTCACTATTTCAAATAATTCGCCTTTCAAATAAATTCACAAAACCGCCGCGAAAGAAAACAGTGAAAAGCTGGGCGTTCCGTGGCTTTGTGGGCATTTTGCCATTATAAATAAAAATGCGAAATTCGCCATGAAAAACTGTCTATCAAAAAAATCCTACTGAGACAAATGTGTTCTATTTTTTTTATTTGCATTTTATTTCAGTAAAACATTTTGCAAAATATTCAATAAATTACATTTCGAAATTGGCTGTCATTTGGTTTGTAGCGGTTTAAACAAAATTTTTGCACACACCCAATTGCTTGCATATATGTACATATGTGTGTACAGACATGTATACGTAGCAGGGTAGCTTTGCAAAATCATGTTTATTTATAAGCACAAATGCAAGCAAGAAAAAAAGAAAAAACAACAACAACAACACATAACTCAAGTAAAGCCACATAGATTGAGTTAACATGCGGAAGGGCAAAAAAATGTTTGACATATCTCGGCCGAAAGACGCCTCTAAATAGTTTGCATACAATTTAATAGCTGTTTTTGCCCAATTAAGCAATACTTTGCAATACAAAGCGGTTTAATGTCAATAATATTGTTACGATTTTACTAAATCAACCTCATTGATTTTCTAAATCCATCGTACCCGAAGGATTGTTAAATAAAAACTCGCCAACTTAATTTGCAATTTCTTTCGTTATGAAGAATTAATCTAATGTCCTTTATTTTCTCAGTAATTCACAATTCAATTATAATGCACTTTACTATTTACAATCACTAGCATCAACTTTCACAATTTACTTAGATTTAATCTCCAACGCGTTTACTTTACGACTCTTCACTGATGTTGTCGCAAACGAGTTCACTTTGTAACTTATTTAACTTGGCAGCTGAGTGTCCTCTTATATAGCAGTCGGCTGCTGCAAACGAAAGCGTAGAAGCATCGATATTTTCGCTATGGAAGGTTCTTGTTTTATCGTTTCTAGAATTTACTAGTTATCGGCTTCTCTCTTTCATCTGACATTCTCCTCGTATTTTCCCAACAATATACATACATTAAAGATTTTTCTATAAATATTCTCTTCCACAATAAAGCATTAAAATAAAGGGTTTTCCAATAAGAGATGATATATTGAATAGCCTAATATTCCGGTAGATGTCACTTTTGTAGCTGTAAATTTTTCACATTTGACAAGTAAAAACTACGAAATTAAAGGATACAGGCTTCGAAACGAATTTAAATTATTAAAATTCACTGAAAAAAATTTCATGGAAAAATCATCTGAACTGATGAGGCATATTTTCAACTCGATGGCAAAACTGTTTCGTTTAGGACGCCTTCGCATGCTGAATGTGTAGCTCTTTGGTGCGATTTATGGTCCGGTGGAGCCATTGCAAGTTACTTTTTCGAAAATGAGTTGCTTGTGCTATCGATAAGTGATTATTGATTTTTTATGGCCGGAGTTGGACAACGTTTACTTTCAAGAAGACGATGCTACGTGCCACACAAGCAACGAAACCAGCGATCTTTAATGGGAAAAGTTTCTGCCATTTCTGTTTCAAAATAACTCCTATTAGTGGCAGGCCCTTTGTCTTGTTATGTGCCGATGATGTAAAACCTTTAATGTGATATTCAAAGAAAGAGGTTTATTACAAGCAACTCTAGATAATTTAGCTATTTGGTGTGAAAGCAACGACATGCATTGGAGCCTTCATGAAATGTGCGATAATGCCCACCTTTCACCACCGTCTAGAAAGCTAAAAATGGTTTCGTCTTTGTCAAAAGATGGTCAAAGGAACTTAAAGACTCTCATGCTATCTACTAAAGTGCTGTATAGGTTTTTGGTGAGGCCATAATTAGAATATGGTTCACTGATATGGCATCCCAATTTGCAAGTTAATTTCGATAAGTAAGAGAGGGTTAAGTTTTTTTTTTGCATTATGCAATAAGGCGTAAGGTCACTGCAAGCACCTAAAAAAATCTACTTTTTTCAAGATTTCTTTTTATGTGGAAAGAATGGCAATACAATTATCATGGTTTGATAACTTACTAGTTTCATATATTGGGTGTACGCATTAATTCGTGCGGTGTTTTTCGATAATTAAGACTCTATTGTGTAAAAATGATTTTAATCGTCTGGAAACGATTGCTTGATCAACTCCTAACACCTTTGCAAGGTTTTCTTGCGTCTGGCATGCAGCTGCGTCCAGCAATAATTATTTACAACTATATAAAAATAAATTCAAAGCAACCAACAACAAAAAATGTATATTACTCAAATAAAATGCTAAGCAAAAAGTCACTCATACGCACTGTCAATTCGACTATCAGCATGATATTGATCAAGTAAAAACCATTTTTAATTTAATTCAAAAACAAAAAATTACTCATACGCACCGTTGAATTCACTTTCAACATGATATTGGTCTAAATTGTATTAAATTCAACGTTTTATTTGGCATAGTTAGAATTATACGATTTATTTGATTCGAAGGTAATGTCATTATGAGCCTCTAATAGAAACTCTGCTCTTTATTAGCAAAAAAAAAATAGATTTTCACATGCTTATTTTGAAGCTAATTCATCACCAACAAATCAAACAGGAACAGATGGCAATCACTTCATGCGAGCTTTGAACTATAAGGTGAATGCATAAGAACCTCCCAACCAAGCTCTCTGTGCTATCTATCGAAGTGTGTGTGGCCTGGCGTTGTCATTTTATATCCGATTCTTCTGCTGTTGGCCAAACCTAGACACGTATGGATGATAGTTTCTTTCAGATGATTTAATTGCCGACAGTATAGGTCCGTATTGAGAGTTTTGTCATAGAGGACAAGCTCATAGTGTATGATTCCTGGCTCATCCTACCAAACGCATAACATAACTTTCGTGGCAGTCAATCTTGGCTAGCAGACCATTTGTGCGGGCTCAATGCCTTTGGTACGCCACTGTTTGGAATGTGCTGTATCTGTACCACTTTTCCTCACCAGTCAACAGCCGCTACAGAAACGGCTGCTTGTTATTACGATTCAGCAGCTCTTCGCAGTTGAAAATTCGATCCAGGTGGTATTTTCTTGTCAACTCATGCGAAACCCATACTTCCATCAAACTACTTTGTGTAGCCAACCTTTTTCAAGTGGTTTCAAACAGTTTTTGGTGCAATACATATTTACCTGCTAGGCAATCAAAACGATTTCCATTATTTTTTTTCGAGATTTTTGACAATTGGCCATTCCATATTTTCCATAAAAATTACCGGAATGTAATCGACGCAACCAAAATTGTGCTCTACCACTGACTGTTATAGTAGCTGGACCATGAACACCATACACATTTTTCCCTGCCTAACTTGCAGTTTCGCTTCTATCGAAGAACAATTGTAAATTTTGATATATTTTCCTATTGCTGGCGTCCGTTTTTGACATGCGTTTAAACACTGCTGAGTCAATGCTGGACACTGGACTAGTTCTCTTTTTAAATACAAAATATCAATTTTCCAATTCAATTTGGCGTAATTCAATCGCATTTATAGAACGCGAGATGCGAATCCCTAAGGACATCTAATTCAAAAATAATGGATTTCTTTTTATTAGACCTAATATTTGGCCATAAAGTTGATAAATTGAAAATTTTAACATTTTTGAAAATAGTAAATTATAAAAGCAAATTTAAAATAGAAAAGTACTCTGTTACTCGAAGTTCGTTGCAGCCCATCGACAATTTATGGTAAATTATTTGCTCAAAGGTACAGGATTTGCAATTAATGTCAGCTGGCAGAATTATGTCGAAAATGTAGTGTGATTTATGGGAAATTTGAATCTCAAACATTTTTTGAACTCAAAAAAAAAAAAAATTAAAAAAAAAACAACATTTAACAGATTCGATATTTATGACTGCCCAAGCGCAAAATGATGCTCACTTTTTCATGTTGGCCTGCGGCGATGTCTGTGGAAAACGCCATGCATATTTTTAAAAAGGGAAGAGTAAAATTATACAAATTTATAAACAAACTTCGCAAAAACACGCCATGATCTGTTTTGATTATATTTTCATGCCAAGCAAGTTGTACAATAAGAATGCCGAGTAGAGGAAACAAAATATAGGCATAAAATATAAACACAAGCGAAGCAAATTAAACATTTATGAGGCCCGTCTGGGTTGCACGTAAGAACAAATGTATGTATGTATGTATGTACATACATATGTATGTAAGTGTACTGTGTAGCATATAAACAATACTGCTTTCACTTTTCAATTTCAGTTTTTGTTTTCAATTTTGTTTTTTATTTTTTCTTCACACACACGTTTTATTTTTATGCATTTTGTGGTGAAATTTTCGCAGCTTCCAAATTTCTCAAATTGCAACGGTCGAACGACCGTCCGTTTGTCAGTCCGTCTGTCGGTGTGCGCGTATCTGTTGCCTTGCAACATTTTATCGTTTCGCATACAACAATTCCGCGAATTCTATGCTCCACTGATGGACAGACTGACAGACGGATGGCGAAGCGCAGCTGTTGGCCATTTTTTAATTAGACAAACTTGCGGCTGATGTGACTACTCTAATTGTTTTGGACTGATTGATGCTTGTGAAAATGCAAAGTGGCAAGTGCGTGTAGGCTATTTGCCAGGCATTGCTATTTTTTTTTCTTAAATTTTTTAAGTGCTTGCGAAAATTTCCAGTAATAACTTGAGTATTTCGTAGAAATTAAATTATGGCGCAGAGATTTATGGGTGGCGAGGGAAGAAAGTAAGTTGATCAAAATTAAAAAAAAAAAATTAAATGTTATTAACCGAAATCATGAAATTGGGTACGTGTACCGAAAACCAATTTTTTTTAAAGTAATAAAAAATTAAAATTTTGTTAAATAGTTTTTCAAATAAATTTTCAATAAAAGAATAAAATTGGGTACATGTACCGAAAAATTATTTTATATACAGAAACTAACGGTAGCAAAGGTATTTTTATTTATTTTTTATGAGAAAATATATGAAATTCGGTACATGTACCGGCATATAATTTTATATGCAGAAACGAACGGTAGCAACGGTAATTTTTTTATGAGAAAATATATTAATTCAAAAGAAAAATTTTACTTTAATTTTAGAACTTGGTACTTTTACCGTTAATTGTTGAAGTGCGAAAAAATTTGATCGAATCAAATTAAATTTAATTTAATATAATATTTTCCATTTTTTGTATCAAATATTAAAGTGTTTCGTACATTCACCGCAGACTGAATAATCAATGGGAAAACTAAAATGAACAAAATATTTGAAATCTCCTTTTTTATAAAAGTACACTTGTCGTAAGCTGATTAATTTTTGGGTGCTAATTAATCAATAAAAATTTATATATATTTATTTTTATTGTATTTTACCGAAAATAATTAAATTTTGTACCGTAAACTAAATGATTGGTTGGAAAGTTTCAGTAATTTCAATAAACTACCTTTTTGCTTTTTTTATAAAAATTATATTTTTTAGGTACATTTAAGTTTTATCTGAAATCGGTACGAATATCCAAAACCCACACACTTGAAGAAACATAAGTGCAAATTAGTTAACGCAATTATCAAGTAAAGCTTACACCACGCCTACCTAACAGCGCTAATTATAATACTTGAAATACTGAGATAGGTACTAATGCGTCACGGTAAATCCATAATGTAGAAAATGAATGATTGATAATAAATTATAGGGCAAACACAGGCAACTTTAACCGATATCGCTTAATTAATAGCATATAGAAATTAGTCTGGGTACCGAGAACTGGTAAAATAGATAAAAATTGTTTACATACGTTTAAGTATGTATGATAGCAGTCAAACGGTACAGGTAATCATTATTTTGTGCTTAGCTAAACTACTTCATTTCGTGATATGCTTTAATCACTCAAACGCTTTAAATTTATACCGAATTAGGTATAGATTTGGTACGCACTATTTTTTAGTCTAAGCTTAAATGAGACTTAGAAATTATTTTTATTATTACATAGAGCCTTTTTATTTTAGGAATATGTATGTGTACCGAAAATCAGTTACGTATTATATATTAATAGTATTTAATAACATCGACTAGCTGAAATAAAATTGCGTTAAATGCACTCCCTTTTTGCTTGGTTTCTTTCATTTATTGCTAGTTTTCAAGGTAATAGTAGAAAAGAATGAGTACCGAAAACCAATTCCATATAACTTTTTTTTGAGACAATACAGCTTTTGTATGTTTTTAAGGATTTTAGCGTATTTCTATTTTATTTTGTAAAACTCATCTCAGTATTTAAGTGTACCGAATACCAAATACCGGATAGCTAACGTACAGCATCTAATTACCGAAATAGGTATTAATACCGAAAATTATTGAATAGCTTTAAATGACCACACACAAACCTTCTTATTGTAAAATTTTTCTTTTTTGTTTTGTAAATGCGCGAATACCGAAATAGGTACAAGTACCAGGTGTCATATACGAATAATAGACAGTTTTTATTCAGGTACACTTTAATGTGCTATATGTATACATAAAATTTATGCTGTTATGTAAAATAATAGATTTATCAGAAATGATTTGAAAATGTTCAAAATAGGTATATGTACCGAATATGAGCTGCACAGCAAACTATTTGCCGTTTCAAGACAAAATAAACTTAAACAATTAGGTAATTGCTATGTTGACGCGCTGTCTTCTGTTTTATTCGTCCTTTACAAACTAAGCGGCAAGCCAAAGCAGCGACGTGTACCGGGTTTTCAGCTCATTTTAAGATCCTTGCCATATCAGCAGCGAACGCTACATAAAATCGTTTATCAAACAGTAGATTGCAATTTAAATAGGCTTAAAATCGAACAATTGCGAGTTTTTACCGAAAACATTTTCATTTCTTATCGACAATACACAGTATCTTTATATAATCTCTCTCTCTCTCTCTCTGTATCTGCAAATCTTACAATACAGAAACCATCTTCACATGTACCTTGACCACATTTCACGATTCAAGCTCTCTCTCAATTCCATTCGCTTTGATTTGGGAAAATATATATTTAAAACCTACTTTTATTCGCTCTTTCAGTTACTCGAAAAGCGCATCGATAAATTTACCGAAAGTACTACCGAGCAGCTGTTGATAACGAATCCCGAAAGCCAAGCATATGTGCGCGAAGAACTTCAAAAGCTCAACGAAAAATGGCGACACTTTAAGGAGCAGGTGACGAACAAACGCAAATCGCTCGATCAAGCAACGGAGTTTTTCGAAAAGGTGGAAAAGGTGAGTTGTCAGAGCAAAATCTTGAAAATAAGTACCCAAATTAACTTTGGTTCCTCTCTTTCTCGCCGACACAGATCGATGCCGAGTACCGCGAGATCAGCTATTTCTACAACAGCGTCTCCAATAAGATCACCTACTTACGCGATCCCGTCGAAGCCTCAAATCTAGTCAACGATATTGAAAAATATGTCGCCACACGCGAAGGACCACTGTTGGAAAAACTCGAACATGCCGCGCAATGCGCGCATGATATGAATAAAGTATCCACACTTTACAACGATGTGCGTAGTATATTCCAGTCTTTCATGAAACTACGCGCAGATATTAGCGTCGTACAAGAGCGCCTTAAGAATGAAGAGCGCTTACGTGAACAACGCGAGAGGGAGGCGCGCGAACAAGAAGAGCGTGAACGCGCCGCACGCGAGGCTGAAGCTAGAGAACGTGCAGCGCGCGAAGCTGAAGAACGTGAACGTGTTGCGCGCGAGTTGGCTGCACGTGAACAAGCGCTACGAGAAGAGGAGGCACGTTTGCAGGCCATCCGTGAACAGGCAGCGCGTGAGCAAGCAGCACGTGAACAGGCAGCGCGCGATGAGGAAGCGCGCCTACAAGCGCTACGCGAACAAACCCAACGCGACGAGGAGGCACGCCTGCAGGCACTACGTGAGCAGGCCAGGCGCGAGGAAGAAGCGCGCCTGGAAACTTTGCGCATTGAGGAGACACGTTTGCAGCTTTTACGCGAACAAACTAAACGTGAGGAAGAGGCGCGCCTACAGGCCTTACGCGAGCAGGCTGTCCGTGAAGAGGAAGCGCGCTTGCTAGCGCTACGCGAACAAACCAAGCGTGAAGAAGAAGCGCGCTTACAAGCGTTGCGAGAGCACGCAAAACGCGAAGAAGAAAATCGTTTGCTGGCACTGCGTGAACAGGCCACACGCGAAGAGGAGGCGCGATTGCAGGCGTTACGCGAACAAACGCAGCGTGACGATTTTGCGCGTCTACAAAGTGTACGCGATCAAATCGATCATCAACGCATTGTTACCGAAAATATACGCAAAGACATTCAAGTGAATGAGATCTTCACGGAAATCAAATATGTCTCGCCACGTTTCAATCGACTGCTGAAGGACGCAATCACGCGTGAGGGTGATAAATTTACATTCGAATGCGAAGTTAGCGGTAATCCAGAGCCAGCTGTTGAGTGGTTCAAAGACAGCATATCCATACAGAATAATCCCGACTATAAGACCACCTACGATCGCGGCGTTTGTCGTTTGGTAATCGAAGAGACTTTCACGGCCGACTCGGCGCGCTTCAGTTGTCGCGCCTCGAATTTAGTTGGCAGTAATGAGACCAGTGCTAATTTGTCGGTGCGTGAAAATGCCATTGAAATGCAAATGGTGCCGCCAAGAATTGTACGCTTCCTGGAGAGTGGCAAGGCTACGGAGGGCAGCACTTTTCAATTTTTGTGCGTCGTCAGCGGTAATCCTCTACCCACCGTGCAGTGGTATAAGAACGATAAGTGTATTGACGACTCACCTGATTATGTCATCAATTATAATAACGGTGAGGCAACATTACGTTTTGAGGAAGTTTTCCTCGAGGATGATGCTGTCTACACTTGCAGTGCCTCAAATCCGGCCGGTATAGAACATTGTTCGGCGAGTTTGATTGTGGAACGTAAGTAGAATACGTTCGACATAAATTTTCCCATACAAATAATGGTTTTCCTCATACTGTATTTCCTAAAATCATTTTTGAATATTTTTTTTTTTTCATTCTTTTGATTTTGACAAATCTTGAGCGTTTTTTTTAACTTCTCTCTATCATCCTTCCAGCTCTCGAACCAACAGAAGTGCCCCACTTTAAGATCCCTCTCAGCAATGCTATGGCTCGTGTTGGCCAAAAGATTAAGCTTGAAGCATTAGTCGGTGGTATACCGAGACCCGATATTTTCTGGTTGCATAATGGCAAGCCATTTGCACCGCGAGATAGCAAAGTGAGTATTTAACTGAAAATATTAACTATAAAAAAAAATATATATATATATATAAACTTCACTAAATAGAGAGCTAGTAACACAATACTAAAAATTTCCAAATAAAAAAACAAATAAAAAATAAAGTTATTTGTTTGGTTTGTTGAAAGAGAAGGCTGAGGACCTGACAGCAAACGGCCTAAACTAACTCACTGTTAACCCTAGCAAACCCGACTATATTTTGTGAATATCTAGTTCAATTGTAATAAACTCATTCCAGCCATGTGTGTCCACTTGAATAAGATAGGATCTGAAGGCATCGTGAAAGATGTGACGAAACAGTCGGTTGAAGGCCACTCACAAAAGTAATACTACACCCATCGGTGGAACTGATCGTCATGATCACGTCATGGTCGACTGCTTTAAACAGCATTTGAAGGCGCTGAAAGGCCTAATAGTATACTAATTGCCTCTGTCTATCAAAAACCTGATAGATCTTCCTCTTAAAGCGGCTGTCCATTTGGCAGCTTGTGTGATGCCCACAATTTCTTCTTGGAACACAGAGTTGTAGTCATTGTGTGATTCAAGCAACCTTAATTATTGGGATGATCACAGAGGGTTTCCGTTTCGCGGTCGTAATTTATGTTTAGCCTGAGGTAGGACATTGTTTACTAAATGTCATGTCCTTTACAATTGGCTGCACCATTTTCTAAAATATTAAGGCGGCTAGCTGTTAGCGCTGCTTCATACACAACTTGAATATTCATTTGCCTAATGTCAAATATGACTGCTAGAGCCTTTGTTAAAGTAGTCCTCCTCGCGCCTGATATGCCAAGTAGACAAGTAGCTTGTGCAGGTTGCAAAGGCTTCGTACGGCTCTTCTTCCATAGTGTTGTCCACCACACTAGTGGTTCTTTTGTTAGTACGGATATATCGTCACTTGTGAAAACACAATGTGAGGTAGTAGGCCCCATATTGGTGCCATAGCTCTTTTGGAAGTATTCCAGTTCCAGTTCGTTTCAGGGGCCCTGCGAGATACTGTTCAAAGCTGGAAGGAAGTATAAAGTTACCTCTTAAAGATGGTGGGTTGAATTGATGAACTTTCATCTTTCTAGTAAAGGCATAGTCATCAGATTTTAATGGGTTTATTGGAAGTTTTTGTCTCTCAGCTCAAACAGCAAGTGCAAGTGCCCTCATCCACTGCGATTCCTTGAAAAATTCAAAACATTTGGTCATTGTGGTCCGTAATACACCACGTTGGTTAAAGAGCTTGACAGAAAGTTTCGAGTGGCAGCGAAAATAGTACATAACCCAACCAGACGGATTGTGGCAGTTACCATATCCCTTTTTAACTACTAGAAATTATTGTTTTCAAGTTTCTCATCGGGGGTTGCGAGGCATTTATCAATTGTTTGAGAAATCTTCTTTGTGATATAATCATCGCTCATGCGATTATCGCCGAGATAAAAAAAAACCAGTACGCAGACGTTTCATCTTTTCGTGGATTGGTACCTGATCTTTCCAACGGAATGGAAAGCTTTTTCGATTCTCTGTTTCCATCAGCGGCGACTTCTCGTTCACATTCAAAGCTGAAGTGTTTTCTTTTAATTCGCTGTACTATGTCAATATCGCCTTACATATCGTGAAACTAATCGTTCAATCGGCTGCGGTATTCACCGTTCCCAAGGCGCAAAGTACCATAAATTATATTATACGCAAAACATTTCTCTCGAAGACCAGCACGGCCCACTCAGATAAAAGATACAATATCTGGGCTACTCAGTCCCAAGTACGATAGTATCTGCTATCAAGAGTAAATCGGTCTTGGACTTAAAGCTGATATAGTTGTCGTTGCTTTACGGTGATACTTCGCCTTGACCACGTTCTTTACCAAAGCCATTCGTTCGCTTCCAAGCTTCAGTCGGCATAACCGCATAAGTTTTGCGGGAATATAAAATTCAAACATAGCGGTGCGCACTAAGAATTTTTGTTTGGAGATGCGGAAAAAGTGTGTAGAAGCAGCTCTCCTTTTCGTGGTGTCAAAGGCTACTTTAAAATCGGCTAAGGGGCACTTTTCACGGCTATTTTCCACGATTTGACGCATGGTGAATTGTCAATGGTAGATTTGCCAAGTCTGAAGGTCCAAGCAATTAGTTGGCATCCAATCGATGGGGCCAGATACACGATTGCCGGGACACATGTTTTGTGATTGCGGTAGAGCATACTTAAATCCCAATCGTGCAACACACACTTAGCCGACCGAATGTTAGAAAGAAGCTGTTGCATTGCACTTTATCAGGTCTTCAACATCCCATCTGAGTAATTGAGGAAGTACTTGAGTAACACTGAACTGAGTGTGAGTGAGTATCTGGGTCCATTAGCTATGTTAAGATTTCATCTCCTAACGAAACATCTTGTTTTTGTAGAAACTCTACTGATTTGGGGAATTTACGAGTAGAAATGAGAGATCCTTGTCTCTAGATAAAATATTTTTTAGTATAAATCAAAATAGCACTGATTATTCACTTTGAGTGATGAATGATTCTTGGGCAGAGTTTTTTGAACAGAAAAAGAATTACCGTCTCAAAATCAGTAAAATTCTGTCGAGTTATAAAAAATTCAAATTTTGATATTTTTGACATTTTCAAACCCTTTTTCTTTTGAAATATCTCGAAAACTTTTTTATTAACAGAAAAAATTATACTGGAAAAAGTTTTTCGCAGCAACCTTTTTGTGAAATATAGGGTTTTTAAATTTCCGATTTTTTTTAAATCGTCAATATTGACGATGAATATGAATAAAAATATATCTTAATATATATAAAATGAATGTTTGTTTGTTAGTGACGCTAAGGCTCGAGAACGGCCGGACCACTTTTTATGAAATTTTCAGAGGTTGTACGATGTAGAAATGATAATAGAAGAATAGTATAGAAGAAATAATAAATAAAAAAAACGAGGAAAAATTGTTGGTAGTAAAATAATACTTTATCCTTAGCTTGCTATAAGGTTATGCTTTTTTTATTTCAAAAATGCAGTAGTGTATTTTGACATCTGTCAAACTTAATTGTCACATAAAACATGTTTTGCTGTAGTTAAAAGTCAGATATATGTAAAAATGGATCGCTTAACAACCGCACAAAGTGTTAAAATTGTTAAAACCTACCAAAATCAAAAAAAAAAAAAATCTTAGATTGAGCAATTGGAAAAATGTTTAAAGGAATTTTAAAGAGACTGGATCGTTTATAGATTTTGTGAGATCTGTGCATCATCGCCTTACTCCTGCCACCACAAATGGCGCTGTTGTAAGCGGCCGCGATAGCCGAGTGGTTAGCAATGCGTACAGCTATACGGAAGGCCTGCGGGATCAGCTGGTATACGAGTATGTATATTTGTCGTATTTTGCTTTGCAAACCTTCTTTTTCTGGTCTGAGAAGCTCTTGAAGTACTTGGAATTCGGTATTTTTCTGAAATATTAATTAAAAATATTTTTTAAATATTTTTTTCAACATTTTTATAGCATTAAAATTTAATTAAACACTTAAAGATATATTTACATATATATTATTAGTATTCAGCTTAATAAACGTAAAAGCAACTACAACATCTACACTGGCCAACTGTGCTAAGTATTTATTTCTGAAAATTATGAAAAATTATTACTTTATTGCAATAAAAATTAAGCTAATTGCAAGCATTTGTTTTTGGGGCCACAGTGGCATTAGCGTGGTCAGTTGGCGAAATGGCGCTTTGCTTAGGCGATTGCCAAAAATATATTTCATTTACATACATACATATTTTGATACATACATACAAACTTGAATACATACATACATACTTGGATACATATGTACGTGTGTATGTATATATGTATAAAGTGCGTGTAACCATAAAATTTGTGTTCTGAATGAATTTTGACGTAAAAATGTCGACGCTAAAGATTTCAAATAAACATATTTATTATGCATGCATTTAACATATAATATACATATATGCATACATATATGTACTCGTACATGTACAAATGTGGGTATGCATGTAAATGCGTCGCATTGCCGACCGATTTTATATTACGACAATTTCTATCTCTAGCGGCAGTGGCTGTTGAGCGGGTCAAGGCGAGTCAAATCGGTTTGGCTTAAGATATTTTCGTAATTTGATAAATAATAAATGTTTTAAAAAATAAACGCTGTATATATGTATGTATATGTGTATGTGAAACTGTTGATGGCGTAAAGACAAATTATTAGTGGGTGGATGTTGTTGTTGAAAGCTTTCGTTGTGGTGTTAAGATGAATATTAATTATTAATATAAGTAAATGTGCTAAGTGAATATATTTTTCAATAAAGTATTTAAGAAAAATTATTGAAATTAATGAAGAAACGTTGTTTTTCAACACCTTGGAAATTGAAATTTTTTTAGGAAACGATAGGGTGATCCCTAATAGGCACCCAAAAAGATTTGTACTTTTTTCGGTCTCACATAAAACTGCTTTTTTTGAATTGAGATATTATATACGTATATACATATATATATATATAACAAAGCCTGAATCAGTGATTCATATGAGGGGGTTCTAAAAGAAGCCTTAATGGCCTAGCTAGCAAAGCTCATTGGGAAAAAAGCTTGCAGGGCCTAGCATCTCAATGTTTAATTAAAAATCCTCTCTTGCTCGTTTAATTTCGTACAAATGAACACATTGCTCACTTTAAACAAATTTTTGCCCCTCTTCTTAGGTACAATAGTCTCATACTCATTATTTTCAGTTAAAAGAGTTTTCTGTTTAGCTTTTCTTTCCAAAATAACTAAACTGTAGATTCCGCCGTTTGTTGGAAAACGTACCAGTTAGAAATTTAGCTCGGCCAAAATTCGCTTCATGTGTTTATTGGATTATCTTAAGAACTTCTAGAGATCAAGTACCTCTTTTCTCATCTTGTGCTAAATCTAGGCAAGTGAAGAAAAAATGGTAAATAGAGGATATTAATAATATTGTGGGGATCCTATCCGATCCTATCCCAAAT